GTTAAGGAAATAGGGCATGACAGTGTGAACTAGATTCATATGCCTCAGGAATGAAACCTGTGGATGGATCTTGGTAATGAACATTCAGGTTCCACAACCGATAGGGAATTTCTTAGCTAGATGAGCAACTATTAGCTTCTCAAGTACTCTGCTCCATGGAATTTGTTATTGTAGTCAGTTAACAGCACTACAAAAAGCTCCATTATACAATATACCAACCAGTTCTTATGCCAAAAGAAAGTTCTCATTCATTTAGCACACAGGGTCAACAAAAAGGAAACTGCTAATGTTCATATATTGTTATAAAAGACAGCAGTGAACAGCTATTACCTACTTCAACTACATATACATTTTTGGTAGACCTGAGACAAATTTCTTATATTACAGTTTGTTTCAAAGGAAATAACAGCACTAAGAATTTTGCTATGAGGATGAAATGTCCAACTTTACACACCAATGTTTATGTGATCCATTGTTACAGCGAAACTCTATCCTTGGTATTCCTGGCATGACTTCCTTTCCATATCAAATATTATTTTGTCGTGTTAAGTCTTGTCCACTTCTCACTGACAACCCACAGCCATTGTGCCATTGTATCATCTTTGGCTTGTGGTGCTACTTCCTCTTCTGTGCAGTCGCTACAGAAAAGAAACAATTACAACAACTTCACGAGCATTCCTAATGTTTACTTTCAATCTTACAAACCAGACTTTCCAGCTCCAATGTTTATGCTGCACTCTCCCTGCTCTTCACCCCCCTTAATAGTTCAATGATGGATAAATAAATTTCCATGCTAAAATAGTTTTTGTCTTTGAATTAAATTTTTTATAGCTATTGGAATCACTAATATAATTTACTTAACTGTATATTACAGTCCCCCTTTCACATCAGACAGTGCCAGAGAAGTTAGCTTACTACTTCACAAATAATTCCATCCATAGGCCAACCCTAACATCCCTGCCACAGAAGCATTGTGAAGCTGCGATAGGTCCAGAAAACTGGCAGTGGACTGAATGGGAAACAGTTTTCAACATATTACAAAGCCTTGGGAAGAGGCTTTGTATGATGACTCACAAATAAGTGGGCACATCATAGAAAGAATATCACAAAACAAGTTTGAATTATCCAAGCACCATTCACATGTTATCTTCAACACTTTATATTATATTCTCATTAAATGCTATTTCTGATGCCTTCAGTATGCATTGCTGCCCATCTCCATGAAGAGGACAAAGAGAATAAAAATGTTCATGCTCAAGCATCAAGTATTCCAAACTCAAACTCACAACTGGCAATTTAAACTAGGATTAAGATATTTTCAATATTCCACAGAAAACAAATTCAAGTGAAGGGCCATCTAGCATGCTAACAGACACAAAAGGGAAAGAACATGTGTTGTACAATGTTATGCTTGCAATTATTGTGGGCAGCAGAAAACTTCCTTTGTATGTATATTAAAGAAGAAAAATGAACAGATGCAGATATAAGGCAAGATTGGCTAAACATCATATGGAAAAGAAGACTTGAAGTTTATTATGTAAATCACTCCGAACATTGAACAGCTTCTTAGCTGTAATTGTAGCTGCACATCAAAAGCTGGAGGCCGATGGTTATATTACCTCCAGAGGCTTTACATCTGTTCAGCATGAATTAAAAGGCCCTTCATGAACCACAAGTATAGTTTTTATTGAGTTTTTGAATTTGTGTTTTCGGTTACACAAGACATATTTCTAAGGGTTTTAAACCACTGACATATCTAATGCATTTTGCTGGAACAGAACATTATAGGAAGATAATATTAAGATGAACTGATATATTTACTGAAGAACAAGATTGAAACAATCAACAGATGACTGTAACTCCAAAAATTGAAAATTAAAATTTCTGACACTTGAATTTTGTGAAGGAGTTTGAAATTTACAACTTGCATTAATTCTTACATGTTAACTTTAATATTATAAGGGAAAACTACTGAACTGCCTTTGTATTAATGTAAAAAGTTGTGGAAGAAATGAAGCTATAATGTGGGTAAATACAATACACCTATCATCTTCCATTATTACAAAGCACATTTCAGAACTCTTGTTCTAGGTTCCACTTTAACAGACCAGTAAAGCCTCTGAGCTGCAATCAGAGAGTCCTGTTTCAAAACTGGTCAGGGCATCAATGATCCTCAAGTCTAGCTAAATTATACACGAGTGGTTGAAAATAAAAGTTGGCAGGACACATTTTATTCCATATCAGTATCAGCTTTATGAAAATATTATTTACATTGTTACTCTTTTCATTCACCAAGTGTTTTTATGCATTCAATTATATTATTATTTTGATAAAACTGTACTTACTTGAAATATTTACCACTTACACCTTGAAGGGATTGTTCTAGAGCCATGTAGACTGTTGTTCGTGCTCCTTGCTGAGGGCTCTTGATAAACATCCAAATAAATGGCTTCAGGAATATAGCAGATAAAGTGCTATTAAAGAAACTCATGTGTCGTATAATCTCTGTATCCACAATGCCTGGATGCACAGCATTCACTGTCACGCCAGCACCTGCCAGGAAGAAATCAGGTACCAGAGACAAATGATATTACACACACTGGGTGCAATGTCGCAGTCAAGTGGTTAGCACTTCATCCTCATATTTGAAAGGTCCCAGGTTCATATCTCAGTCCAGAGACCAGATACCATGACTGGAGGGGGCATGGTTTTCTCAGTCCCTTCAGTAAAATATCAGGATAATTTCTTAAATTAATCCATGACTGCTTACTTCCAATATCCTTTCCAATTCATTATTTATTCATGATATAATTTGATGCTGCTGGGATTAAATAACCCCAAATGAACAAATCATACAGGGTACAGATATTTTTCTTTATGGATGCACATGTACTTGTAAAGTAAAATATAATGATTATTTAAACTTTTGATCAGTGTAATTTTATTGTACTGTCATATGCTACCGGCCAAACCAGAATTATTATGCAAAAATGAGTGATGTGTGGTCAAAAATAATACATTTAATTTTTCCATTACGTTTTGGTCTCAAACCAGATAATCACCAAACAAAGGTAAAGAACTTTCTAAACTTGTAACTTGTTCATAATTCCACTGTAGTCTATATTCTAGTTCCAATAAGAACCCTTCAATAGGGACAATGAGAGGATAAGTGCTATAAGGATGCCTATTCAAGGTATGATATCCCTTCCAACTTACTTTAGAACCATAACAGTTATGATTTTCGTTTCAATTTTTCTTCAGCAACCAAACAGCATAGTTAATAGCACTAATATTAACAGTTTATTTTAAACAGAGATCTCATTAAATAAGCCAAGTACAATTATTTTTCTTTACATTTATATCTGAACCTGACAATATGGGAGATTGCCGATAAGTTGAATTGTTTCATGTGCCCTCCTTTATTTATAATTATAAATGCCCAATATGGATAATTATTATATATTTGCCTTTAAAACCACATAAAATTGTAATTTTTTGCACTGTAAACAGACTTGTTAGACATGCTAGCAACAAATAGATTTGTAGACTAATAACTGTATAGTATAATATGAGGAAGCTTGTAAAATAGTTCTAAGAAAATCCAAAAATTGTAGTGGTGCATGAACAAAGTAAGGCTGGGAACAAGATACTTGCCTTGCAATCTCCTAGCTAGTTCTCTGGTGAATAGCAAGTTTGCTAGTTTGCTTTGGTTATAGGCTGCAGCCTTATCGTAATGCTGGTCACTGTTTAGGTCCTCCTTGTTGATATGACCTTTATGATGTGCAACACTGGACACATTTATTATTCTGCTTGGAGCAGATGCCTACAGAATAAAGAAACTAACACATTAATACAAGTAAGATAGTGACTCTTGCTGTAGAGCATAATTTAAAACCTTGAAAAATTTCTGTCAGGAGAGCCAGTTTCACCGGGCAAGAAAATTAAGCATTTTCACTGCATGCAATCTGATTTCTCTATTTGCCAGCTGAGAAACAAATTTAAAGAATCTCTATTCAAATTATGAAAATATAAAAATTTTAACATTAATATCAGAAAAAAATTCTGAACCAAGAAGTAGCAATTCAAAATGAAAGCATGTTTTATCATGAATTCAAAAACAGGAGTTATACAACTGACCCTTGTAACATGCAAAATATTTGTTTCTAGAGTACTGTCAGATAATATGCACATATTATCCCAAGAGTTCAACTCAGCCATGCCAGGATATGGCAAAAATTATGCTTTTATAGCTTCACACTACTTGCAATTCTTTACCCTATACTACTTGAACTTAACATGTGATATATCATTTATCCATTTTATA